TTTGCACTATCATTTCTTTAAAAGGTAAAAAAATCCAAACTGGTTTATACTATCCCACATTAGCGCCACCAGTGACATTTCTCTAATTTTCCAAACTTGATTAAAATGCATTTGTAGGCCATAAGCAAAGCCCTGTGTCTACTGCAGGAAGTTCAAGTGTCCGCACTAACCCGTACGATGAACTCCTGGGAACGAGTAAGGACACATTCAAAAACGGCCCAGAGAGCAGGGTCTGAGTAGTAGACTCTACTAAAAACTTATTTCTCTCTGTTTCCCCTGCTTTCAACTAAACTGAAACCCTACCAATGCCGCCACTGTCTCCTGAAGATCTTATAATCAGAGCAGCTCTCCTGCCCAGTCTCATCTGATGGCAGCACTTTTCCTCTGCTCTTTTTTGCCTCGTTGGCAGTCTAGCCTGCTATCACTTTGAAAACAGTGCAAAGGAAGTGCTTTCCATTAACTTCCAATTTATTCCTTTCCTATTGCGATACTAAAATGAGCAAAAGGAATGCTAAGCACAGAATTTTAATGTAATTCAATTGAAAAGGTTTGTTCCTCTGACAAAATCATGCTGCTGGGTAACATTCATTTTATTAAAAGGGAATCTGTCGAAAAAGAAAAGCAATTCAAGCTACAGGAGAACTAAGCTTTATGTATAAGATACATTCCAGAAAAGTTGTACAGAAAGGATTTGTATATTGAGTCATTTTTTTCTACTGACTTTTATTATAATTTTAGAGGTGTGCTCCTACAGAAAGAAATACTTTTGCTTCAGCATATCATGGTGAAAATCACACTAAGGAACTCAGGATTCATTTCAAAGACTATTTTGCATTTGTCAACATGCCATCCCTGCACATCTCATTTCGCCTCATGGCTGGCACAGCTGAGTCAAATGAACAAGCAATTGAGAACGCGTTTATACATGCCATAACATACACAACGGCTGACTCTCCCTTCACTCTCAGTGACTCCCGAGATGTGACTGTTCAGACAGCACAGTGCCCGGGCCACCACTCCATGCTATCTATTGCAACACCCTGGCTGAATGAGCCTCCGACCTCTTCACATGCTTTCAGGCAACAAATGGCAATTCCTGACTTCACTTAGTTGTAAGGTTCTTTGAGGCACAGTGTAGTTTCTCCGGTAACTGATTACAAGAACTTAAGCCCTTTTATGTAATCAGCAAAGTTCACTGCAAATGTTTTAGAAGTTTTTCTTCAATGCAAGCTCCCGATACAGCCAGCATTATCAGGTGGGCAAACCTAGAGCCAAAGGCTTTATGCCCCAAACCACAGCTGCAGGATGCTTCTCAGAAGGTTTGCTGCTAAGATGCTAGGTCTGTTTGAAGCAAGATGTTAATCCTTAAGTAAAGGTAAATTTACCATGAAGCCAACTGAAACTTAAGTTTTGGGCTTCTCCCTCACATGGTCCCTCCCCTTTCCAAGGCCCTGCATCTAACTTTGTATCTTGCAATTTTGTCTTCTTTCTCAGAAAGAGGAATCTAATTTTTTTTTCTTTAGAGATACGTTCTGGCTCTGTCACTCAGTCTGGACTGCAGTGGCACAGTCATAGCTCACTGTGGCCTCGAACTCCTGGGCTCAAGCAATCCTCCCGTCTCAGCCTCCCCAGGAGCTGAGACTACAGGAATGAGCCACCATGCCCAGCCAGGATCCAAAAACTATAGAAGCTCTAGGCTCTCAAAGACATGGAATCCTCCAGCCCTTAAGATTATATTGTTATTATAGATGATATTATTGTATCACAGTATTTTATAATCAGAGTAGAATTTTCATATACTTACTCAAAAAAAGTTGTCCATCCAGTTTCATCGCTTTTAGTGGCTAAAAGGCCACTATTGCCATGGTAAGTAAACAAAACTAATTCTAGTCCTTGAGCAGTCATGCTTTTCAAACATCCATTTGTTCCTATCGTCAACCATATCACTTGGTTATCGGGAGACACCACTCGAACTGGCATGCGATTTGGGTCCCGTCTAATTCTAAGGGTGTTGCCATTGCTGTCCGTCACAGCAGTAATATCATTGTCATTGCTGTAGCTAAAATTGTACAGGTAGTCACCAGTGACTAAACTTACAGTATATTGGTGAGTACCATTGATGTCAAAGATGTAGAGTTCTTGATCAGTTGGAGATGCAACTTCATAAAAGTTCATAGAGTTAAGTAAAGGCTTATTCTTTGACACAGCCCTGATCCGGATATTCCCTAGATCTGCAATATACAGTGTACCATCTGGAGAAGCAGCCAGGGAGGATGGGGCATTGAGTTTGGCATCCTTGGCATAGCCATCTCCACTCTGGTAACAGTCACAGTTGGCATCATTTTTGCAGTCACACTCTGAAGGTATTCCGGCCACTAAGGAGATTTCCCCATCTGTTGTGACCTGCCTTATCCGGTTAATTTTCTTCTCATCAGTTTCAGTAATGTACAGGACCCCACTGTAGGACACAGCAATGGCAGTAGCTGATTCCAGTGTTGTCTGCACTGCGTGCTTCCCCACGGGATATTCCACTCCAGGAACCTGACAGTGCATGGGCCGCCCAGCAGCAATGCGAACCTGACGATTTTCAGTGATCTGTAAAACTACATTATTATCCAGGACATAAATGGAGTTATCCATAGGGTTAATGGCTAGGTCAGTGGGCCATTCCAGACGTACCTAAACAAAAAAAGAAATGGCCTGGTTAGTCAGTTACTGCACTACAGTTAATTCGCCAGAAGAGTAAATTAGACCATTCAGGGAAATTGGCATTAATCTGAGATAAACTGTTTTGTAATAGTTTTTTCAATGGCCTCAGTAAAATAAACAAAAAGTAATGAATGAAGATAAATACAAGAAATAACACTTTCTTTTAAAATTCAGCCCACAGTAAGATTTGCTAGTTATAGGCAAATAGCAAATAAGCCTCTAAGTAGTGAGTCAACAGATACCAATGAGTTATGAACACACGTGTTCCTATGGCAGCAATAACCACCAAATGTTGGGGCTTTCTAGGTTATGAATAGATTCGTGTTCTATTGTGTTTTCAATCAGCCTAACAGTAAACTTTCCAATTCTAAATATAAGTCCCTTGGGACTAATCATAGTGGGTTCTCTCTACTACTCAAGGAGCTCATGCAATCAAAAGATTAGAGATTTAAGCTGTTTGGTTCTTTTTAGAATATCTGCATGCTGCTACTTTACTGGTATTTTATTACAAATGCTTAGCATTTCTTAGTGATAACTGTTCTGTATCCCACTGAATTCATCAAATGCAGAATGACACAAGAAAATAACTTTTTATTAGCTCCTGTGATACATGTAGATGGAACTGCCCTATCAGAACCACTGCAACACATGATACATGCAGTTTCCTATGGTGCCATCACAGTCTACTGACTGAATCAGTCAAGTCACCCAGAGGAGAAACAAACGAGCCAGCTCAGTGTTGATCACCTGGCTGATGTGCATGCTGGTGTCACAGGTTAAAGGTCTGGCTGAAGTCAAATCGTTAGAGCCCAGGAGAGTTGATATGATTCCATTTTGGTCAACTTTCCTAATCATGGTTCCATCAACAAAGTAGATTAATCCATTCTTATCAATTGCCATTCCTGTATTTGAGAGAAGCAGGTATTAGTACTTTTTCAAAAATGGTTACTTTTGATTAACTATTAGGCCCATTATTAAACTCAATTATTTAACCCCAGTGACGACATCGGTGACAGGTAGCAGGTAGGGCTGCAGATTGCAAACACATTAGAAAAAAACCAGCATAGGTATTTATAATACAAATAAATTAAAAATTCAGTAAGGAGGCAGGACATGGGGGCTCACGCCTGCCATCCTAGCACTTTGGGAGGCTGAGACAGGCAGACTGCCTGAGCTCAGGTATTTGAGACCAGCCTGGGCAATATGGTGAAACCCCGTCTCTACTAAAAAATACAAAAAAATAACTGGGTGTGGCAGCGTGAGCCTGTAGTCCCAACTATTCAGAAGGCTGAGGCAGAAGAATGGCTTGAACCCGGGAGGCAGAGGTTGCAGTGAGCCGAGATCACGCCATTGTACTCCAGCCTGGGTGACAAAAAAAAAAAAAAAAAAAAGAAAAAGAAAAAGAAAAAGAAAAAGATTCAGTAAGGAAATAATCCAATTTTGTCAGAATCTCCTGTGAGTATATGAATCACACAGGTAATACCTGTATGTTTCAAATATAAATTATAATGATTATATAATGTTGTGGTCTATAAATTATAGAACCAGCTTCAAATTCCATTCCAGCTAACTTACAGCAACCATATTCTTCTAACAAAAATAGATCTAAGTCAAGGTTAGTGTTTTGTTGACCCTGTTACAATGAAATTTTCTATGATGAATAATTCAGTACAGATACTTTTTTCCAGTCCTTGTTCACATAATAGTCAGTAGCTATCATGAAAAAAATAAAGGCCCCAAACCAGAAACATTGTATTGAGTGGCATAATACATGAGCAAGGAGTCAGTCCTGCCTGGTTTAAAAGCCTTTATCACGAAGAATTTTTAGCCCTTGTTACCTCCAAAAATTCCTCGCAGCAAGGATTTTTTCCCATGGCATAGAAACAAAAGTTGAACAGGTCCAAAGAGGGTGAGGGCTCACAGGGTTGCTTAGTGATGGTTTTTAAAGAAGCCTGGGACTCATTCATGACAAAGAAATTCCAGGACTATGAAAGAATTTGGATACTTCCTTGAAGTTTAACAGGATGTGACCTGAATTATATAGAGTAGTTGCTTCATTCTTTGAAGAGCTGAAAAAAGGGTATGATAATAAAGAATGCCAAGAACCTAATATTTACTGTAAAACCAAGTTAGGATTCTAGCAGTTTCATGCTACATGGCTTTTAAAAACCCTAGATGTGAAACAGCTTTTCAGAACACTGTCAAAGGTAAAAAGTTAGACTCAGCATTAAACATGAGAAGGCACTAAATGGATTTTCTACCTTTTTTTTTTTTTTCAAATAAATAAAAAGAAATCCTCAAATCGCCAACTGCCAGTACCTTTGGGACTCATGAGTGTGGCTTCCACGGCCTTCCCTCCATCCCCACATCTCGCCTCGTCAAACGGAAGGCACTGCTCCCCGGTTCCTGCGACGACTTCTGCATTTTTAGTCAAGTCTTTTGCCCCTGTAAGTGACTTTGGGCGATAAATTCTGCGGGTGTTTGTGTCGGAAACGTACAGATCTCCTGTGACTGGATCCGTTGCAAGGTAGTATCTATGAGCGGGGTTGCTGCTGTGAAAATAGACATCAAAGGGAGTTACTCCTAATACACAGAGGGAAATTAAAAGCAAAATAAAACAGATCATGAGAAACCGATTCTAGTCTGGAATCCATGATCAAAGATGAGACATGAATAGTACTGTCTATTTAATAATGACTTAAAAGAATATGCTCACAGGTAGGATTTCTCTGATATTACTGTTTGTCTTCCTTGCCTGACGCTGAGGATTCAACAATTGACTAACAGTCATCTTAAAAATATTACCTTTAAAAGGCACCATGTGTCTAGCCTAAAACAAAGAAAAAAATTCTCTAAATCTTTTTTGCTCAATGCAAAGCCATTAAAAAATGCCCCTGAATGAGGGACATAAAGTTTATTCCAGGCGAAGGATGTCTCCATCAAATTTTCCTAGAAGTACAATACGCTACTGATTCCACTCATACCTCGCCATAGGGTATTATCCTTTCAAACTAAACACCCTCCCCTTGAAGAAATGAGCACTTTATCTGTCTCGGTTGCTCTATCATAATCCAGAAAAGTGCCAATGTTTGTCCGATGGGGTTAAATATTAAAATGAGGTCATTCAAGCGTACGGGGGAGTCTCATCTGGTGGCCTGTGGCAGTGAGCTAGGATGCTGGATACTTCAGTTTTCTTTCTAAAGTTCATATACTGAGCTGCTCTGAAACCTGCCTATGAATTTAGTGACATACAAAATGTAGTGCCTCAATTTTATAAATATAAAGAAATGCAAATGTAAAACATTTTATGTCCCATTACTTGTAAAAAATGGTAAGCCCAACACTATCAAAGAGGGGACAAATTATGACATATTATTGGAATTAAAAAGCTAATATCCTTACAAACACTCAACGCCACATTCTTAAAATTAATGTAATCTTGTACATGTGCCAAGATTGCTTTCTGAAAAAAATCTGAAAAATAATTTACATGATTTGGTGTCCCAACCAAGATGTCAACATGATGGGAATCTATCAAACTCCATTGATCTTCTGATGACGAACTTAGTTATACTAATTAATTCTCATTCTCTCTCTTCCTCTCCCTCTTTCCACAAGCAGCCAGACACACACACACACACACACACACACACACACACACACACACACAGAGTTATATGCTTGCTTCCATTTATTTGTGAACATCTAAAATATTTAGAAGAAATCTACCTATATGAATATTTTTATTCAAATAGTGATGCAGTAGTTTCCTCATTACTAATGAAGTTGGGTTCTAATAAAACATTTTCACTACTTAATGATTTTCCTTCTAAGTGCTGAGTAGATGTACTTTATCATTTCTGTAAAAGAGTCTATTCTTAAAATTGTTGAAGTGTTTCTCATGTTGTTAGAGGAGGAGAGGAGATCACACATGGAGTCTGTAGAGGCCTTGTGGAGCGCTGAAGAGCTCTTAGGCTGTGATGTTAGTGTACAGAGAAACACAAAGACATACAAAGGCTTGAATACCTTCAGCTCTGGGATCTCCTTTCCAGACTTTAATATCTTTGAGTGACAAAAGACAGACTAGAGCAAGAGGTCTTGAGTGTGTAAATGTGTGTGAAATGGTAAAAAGATGAAGAACTCAGAAAGATACAAGTCATTATGCAAGAAAAACATTTCAGAACAACTGGGTTATGCCAAATGATCAACTTGCTATGCTAAGTGTTATTATATCATTTTCCTAAGTTGATGCCTAAAATTTTAAATGCAGCAACACATATTGCATCCCTTAATGTGGTAGTTTATTACTTTGTAAGAAGTGAAGAGTTACATATCAATATAACATTCAGAGCAATTTTACAGAGGTTTTTTTTTTTCCTTTCTATAAATAGTCTAATGTTGCCAGAGCTGGTCTTTCAGGTATATATAATTGGTGACAGAGTTGCAACTCCACCAAACTAAGTCTACTTTGAAAGACATGACATTGGAGAGGTCCCTTTAGTCTTTCCTACCTCCCTGAATATACAGTTAACTATGAACAGCTGTGTACATGGTATGCATACACTCATGTGTATACATACACACGTATTTTTTTTCTTATCAGTGTGTATCTTTGAGTATGAACTCTGTACCAGAGACTGGGTTTAAAGCCTAACTTCATCACTAACACTAAATGCATGATCTGGGCAAGTTGGCTAACTTATCTGTGCCTCAGGTTCCTTACCTATAAAGGTGATGATAATAATACCTATTTCATAGGATGCTGGGAGGATTACATGAACTAATATATGTAAGATCCTTAGAACAGGGCCTAGCGCATACTACATACTCACTAAGAATTAACCGTCCTCATAATCGCCTTTGCCCTGTCTCTTCTTACAGTGCCATGTCTTTTGCCTTATAACCTTAGAAAGTGCAGGAATACAAGAATTAACGAAAGTATGAGTTGTTTCTGAAAACATTAAAAGAAAAAAAAACTGGGTTTAAACTTGGTTTAGGTTTAAATTTGTTAAACCTAAACTTGGCTAAATTTAAATTTGTTTTCTTACTTCTGCTGTTATTAACAGCAGTTTATAATATCCTAAACTATTAAAGTAATGAAGACTCATCTTAAAATACCCACTTTAAATTGTTTAGAGAGTAATGACGAACAGTGATGATTCACTCATGGTAAATGAGCCATACACACTTCCTCGGGATGCCTTCGTTTTGGGAAAAAACAAACCGATTTTTGAGGTGGCAGCTTCAGTGGTGGTGGCATCCTCTTAGCTATGGGACATGAATTTTCTTGGTGCAAAAACGAATGGACATTCAAGTCATATAAGCTTGCCTTTGTCATCAGTTTTATTCTAATGGGGAAGTAATAAGAGAATGCCCAAAGTGGTGCTTATATTTGCTTATTTCCTGTCCTGAAGCATCTCCTTCCTAGAAGACATAGACATTTCTCCATCAAGCAACAGATGTCAATGGCTTTAAGAATGTCGGACAAACGAAAGCTGCGCTTTTGGATGCAACTCTGTTGTCCAGAAGAACAAATGTGAGGGAGTCTCTGTGGCCCTAGAGAAGAGAATGAGCCTCTGGAAATATTCCGCACAGGATGGGAGGAAATGAGACGTTGACAAGTTCCCAGCAGCGCAGGCCGGCATGGTAAATTAGAGCTGGTTGTTAGGTGCTGGCCTCTCCTAAATGAAAAGAGGGATCAGCATGGAAGTACTAAAAGGAAAAAAAAGTGAGTCTGGGTATTTCTAGTTGACAGACTGGTGGCAGTGAAGCTCTGAATCATATGCCATAGGACTGGGATTCAAGGTCAACTAATTTCAGCATAGAGAGTTGACAGGGTGAGCTAGTGCTTGCTTTCCAACTTTCTGAAAACCCAAAGCACTAAAGAGGCGGGTGTGTGGGTACGATGAGTGGTGAATTTTTAGGTCCGTGATCTATCTAGTGTGAAAACGTGAGGCTACCACGACCGAAATAGGTTGCAGCCAACAGCTGGCGCACGGGGATTTTCCAAATGCTTGGTTTTGGGAAATCTCTGCTTAGCAGAAGCACAGCAGCATCCTTATGTGATTGATTGAGATTTTGCTATTTCAGAAAGGTTTGAAATATTACAATTTTGACTAATAGCAAAACCAAGGAAACTGAGATCAAGTTAAGAACCTTTAGTATATTACACCTTGATTCTTAACTCATCCTGAATTGCCTAGATCATCACAATTATCAAGACATCTTCTCTACAGTCTCATTCAATTAGACACAGATCCAGCGGTAAGTGCAGGCTGGATTTGCTCATTTATTTTGTCACAATTCAACCTTCTTAGACTAGAGAAATATTCACAAAGAACAAGCCAGAGAACAGACATTATTAGCACTTCTATCTTTTGAGTTGGAAACTGTGCCACAGTCCTTAGAACACAAGACATTTGAAGAAGCGTAAAAAACTGTATTTATACAGAAAAGCAAAAAGGCTTCTTTTATGGTAACCAAAAGACTGTTTAGAATATTGCAAGCAGGGACTGGTGGTGTGATATTTCTGTGCCTGCTTGATTTTTAAATATTAAGTCAATAAGGAGTGCTGAATAAAATTCTTATAATTTGGTATCTAAACTTTAATGGATTCAAATTCACAGACTTATGATTGACACTTTCTTTGATCCTTTAATTGGTAATATAAAATTCACAAAGTTGATTTTTAGTTCTACATGTTTAAGTGCCCTTTGGCTGGTATTAATTAATATAATTTTAAAATTTTGGAATGTGTGAGAATTGGAACAAGGATGATGTAAAATTTACTACATATTAAACGGGTTAGTTAGCAAACTAGTACTATAAACATCAGAGAAGGAAATGTTTGGTATATCTAAAAGAAACACATTTTTAAAGCATTGTAGCAGCTTCTATTTATGTAAAAAATTTAATATGTTGATCAGTAATATTTATATCTATTCATTAAAGTATAGCTAAGAATTTTTATTTCATGTAATATCCTGGTGGTGCTTATTAGTTTGATATAACAGAATACTCTGAATTTTAAAATAAGAAGATGTGTTTTTATATTAATTTTTATTGAATATTTTTATTATTCCCCCATTAGTCCAATTAATGAGACTGTTTATAGTGTATGAAATATACAAGAAGATAAAAAGTGTGCATTTTTATATTTTAATTATTAACAACTGGCAATACCATTCCTTTTGTAGATTTAGACACACTTTTCAATTTCTTTTTCTTCCTATTACCTGTTCCTAAGCCTCTCATGACTCTTAGGCTGCCCAAGAAAGCGAGGATAAGAAGCACACCAGGAAGGATCTTATTAACCAGGAAAGGGGAGGTGACGACAGGCAGGCACACAGGAAGAAGCATCTGAAAAGAACTTTAATTTTTTAAGCTAAAAGAAGAAGTTCCAATGAACTAAAATATGTTGACTTTGCTAGGCCAATTTTATTACCTACTAAACAAATGGAATCCCTATTTTATCAATGACATGATCATGTTTGATGATTTGGGCTCAAAGACCTTACACATTCTCTACATCTTCCTCTTTCTTATCACTTAGACAAAGACTCTCCATTCTCTCCTTCCCTTTATCGCTTGGCTTCCTTCACTGCTAACCATCCTGTTTTAGGTTATCTAGCATCTCATAGTGCAACGGCTTTCTAACTGATCTCATCTCGAGTCATTTTGAACTCTGACACCAAGTTATTCTTCCTTTCAGTATGCCACTTTGCATATGCCACTTGTTCAGGATGCTAAAATGGGTCCCCACTGTCTCAGGTATCCTACAGGAGAGAATAATTCCCTAGAGCACTCAAGGCCCCAGGCAATCTGACCCTCCCCTGCCTTTGTGCCTGTATCTCTCATGATTACCACCATGAACCCCCTGCTCCATTCAGGTGGGTCTGATTACCCTCAGAACATGTCTTGCTCAGCTCTCCCCCAGTCCCCGGTAACTTTACGTGCTTTCTCTACTTCTTCATGACTGCCCTCTTTTCTTCTTGCTGTTCTGTTTCAGCAGACTTCATTATTAGACCTAGCTCAAATATCAGCCCTTCCAGAGAACGTTTCCTTACCATACTGTCATCTCCCAGTAATCTCTTCCTTCACAGAACTATTCTCACATTTGAAACCATGGACCACGGGTATGATTAAGTGTCAAAGAACGATACTGAAAATGTTATTTAATTTGTCACGTATATACCTTGTCTCCCCCGCTAGATTGTGAGTTCTGAGAACAGGTACTTTGTCTTACATTATTATTTTTCAAAGTGCCTAACATGCGGTAAGTGATCAGTTAACATGATTTATTTCATACAATTAAATATCCATATAAAAGCCAAAAAGTGTACTCTGCATGCACGGCACATAAAGGAACTGCAGAAGCGCAAATGTAGTTAGGATGATGGACAGAGGAGAAGGGTTATGGAGGATCATGAGAGAGGGATTACAATAGTATCACTGCCAAACACCAGAAGTTAGTACAAAATGAATTCCTACTGTTTAAATAAAGATGTAACTCTAACCTCAGAGATTTTTTTTCCCCAGAGGGAGAGATTATGGCTTTAAGTAACAGGTAAAATGATTGTGAAGTAAGTCTCACTTTTTGCATACCCAGGGCATGAGCCCCTAGAAACTTAGGCATTGGGAGACAGAAAAACCGGCTGTGTGGTGCAGTGGAAAGAACATATTTTCAGAGTGGTTTAACTGTCTGCTACCCATTTCTTAGGCATGTATTTTGGGGAAGATATGTAACCTCCTGGAGCCTCGTCTACGTCACCTATAACCCTGAAGGACTGCTGTGTGGATCTGCAATAACAGATATAAAATATCTGGCACCATGCCTGGCATGGAATAGGCCTGCTTGTTAAAAGGTAGCTGCTTGGATAGTTTTTTCTGTATTGCCTCCAGCATTTTCACATTTAGTTGGTGTGCAACCTGTCTGTCTTCCCTCTTTTCTCCACAGCTACCAAGAAAACAAGACAAGAAAATTTTTGATATTCTACTATGGTTTCTGAGAGCAGAGCTTTGCATGCTCAGTATTCTGCAGAGATGAAGTGCTGATTTTAGCATGTGACTAAGCTATTAGCTGAGAGTATAAGATCAATAGGGGATCTCAGGAAAAGATCATGGGGCCACGTCTGGTCACCCTGATATGCAACAGCTATCCATCTTTCAGTAGAACTTTGGTTTTCGTTTGCTAGTTGTCAATCACTACACAACAGGTTAAAGGGGTTTTGTTGACTAATTCATCTAAAAGACCTCACATAAAATATTATTGTTTCCATGTGATATCATTTCCTTAGCTATTTTAATGAGATAAAATAGATCTAGCATTTCTTTTTTTTTTTTTTTTTTTTTTTGAGACAGAGTCTTGCTCTGTCGCCCAAGCTGGAGTGCAGTGGCGCGATCCTGGCTCACTGCAAGCTCCGCCTCCCGGGTTCACGCCATTCTCCTGCCTCAGCCTCCCGAGTAGCTGGGACTACAGGCGCCCACAACCGCGCCCTGCTCATTTTTTGTATTTTTAGTAGAGACGGGGTTTCACCGTGGTCTCGATCTCCTGACCTTGTGATCCGCCCGCCTCGGCCTCCCCAAGTGCTGGGATTACAGGCGTGAGCCACCGCGCCCGGCTTACCTGTCTAGCTTTTTGCCAGCTTTACTTTAAAACATTGGTTTCCCCGCCTTTTTTTTTTCTATCCTTCGCAAAGTTTTTCAATCAAATGTGTGCATACAAGTCTTTATTGTATCTTCTGCAGCTCCGTGTACACAGAAAGTGGAACATGAAACACTTCTGAGTCTATATATTTGCTTCAACTATATTTGTCCTTCACTTCGAAGAAAGTCGTTTCCTCCATAATAATGGCAATGAAAACATTACTTCTTAAATCTAGTAATTCTTCCAACTTAGGAAAATATAAACTATAGGCAAAGAGGAATTTACCAGGAAGCTAATAATTAAGCTTCAGCTTTGGGGTCTCTCACTCTGCCAAGCCACATGTTCACATAATTGTACGTTTTAAAAAATTTGCCAAGGAAAAGTATTTCTAGATTCTTTTTCTTAAAGAGTCTCCAATAAAACACAGCCCGTCCTGGGTATTCATGGAACAATGCAGGCCTTCTCAAACCTTCCTGCTCTGCTTCAGGTTTCATTCTGTTCAACATGGCTTAGATTATGTTGGTCAGTAATTAATGCTTGGAAATCATTTTTGTTATACAGAGATACTCCTTATACTTTTTTGTAGTGAAATTTATTTTGTGAACCAACTGAAAAAAGTTTCTCAAATTATACCATGTAAATAACTTGCAATATATTGTATAATAATTGTCCAATTAAGCACTCTTAATTCCTTTGATGATCTGTGATACTGTTTCCTCTCTCATGATGAAATATTCTTAGAAAACAATTTTAGAGGGTCACATTGCAACGTAAAAAGGATATTTGAAAATATACAATAACCTTAAGGTACGATGCTTACCTATGTCTAAAATCTTTATTTCTTGGTGGAAGCAGGTAAAAACAGGTAAAAAAAAGAAAGCACAGTTAGAAAAGGCTTCTAAAATATAATGAGTTGAATTCTGGGATTTAATTATTTGTATGGAAAGTTGCCAACTTGGCAGAAATGATACTGGAAATGAATTCTGTAGTCTAGGGCTTACCAACTAACGTACAGAATAGGCTGATTTGAAAATCACACTTACATGAACAAAGCAAAGACAATATGTTACTTTTCCTATTGTCATTATGGCTAATGGATTAACCCAACCTGAGGATCCAATATTCTAGTTAAAAGTCATAGCCTTAGTTCATTTAATATCAGGTCCTGAAATCACAGGAAAATATTTTATGCCTTAATTTCAACCACTGAAATAAAAGAGCTACGCCTATTTCACAGGGTTATTCTAAAGAAAACAAAAGAGATTTAAGAATCATAGCTCTATCATTTTAGAGCACAGAAAATTCACTGAAATCAGTAAGATATTTGATATACTGGGTGACTTTATGCTCTTTAATACACTTATGGAACAATATATATGTGCTGTGCTTCTAACTTAAAGCAAGAATCTGGCTTCTTTCTGGGGGAAATTGGAAACCTTGGGATGGTATTTTTATATGAATAAATTAGTACATCAGACTCAACATTTTTTTAAAAGGCAGGTTTAGCTTTGGTTAAAAGCCCAAATTTAGAAAGACATACCTTAGTTCTAAGACACTTGTTACATTTCCAGAAGGGAATATCCGCCGCACATAGTTGAAATCGCCTACATATAGACTGCCATCGATCCCACAAGCTAGCGCCACTGGGGCCAGTAGCTTGTTACCATCAGCTTGACCATTGCAACTGGGGCAGGAAATGCTGCGTCTTCGCCCATTGCCCATGATACTACTCACGACTGGAGGCTGCTGGGAGATAAACTGGTTTTCCCCATTTCCCTTGTACAGTATACCTACAAGAAATAAAGTGCGTTTTTTTCTTATGATGAAAAAGTGTAAAGGTGAAAAGCAAACATGTCCATGATTGTTTTAACTATAATTCAATGCCTGTTAGGTCTGGATTAAGACATTCTTATTTGAAGCTCCATTGGAAAGAACTGTATTCAATGACCTAGCGTAAAATATTACATGATAAAGTACATACGATATACACAAAAAGTGCTGTCTACTGTGAACTGAAGTCATGTCTGGCGAAAGGAACAAAAGACTAAGAAGAATTAAAACCCCAATTCTCAACCTCAGCGATGACCAGTCATGGCTGTACACTGAAATGGCCTGGGGAGCCACCAAAAAGTGTTAATGCCTGCTTCTCACCCAGAGAGGCGGTGGTTTCATTTGTCTGAGGTACAGCCCTAGCCCTGAAATTTAGAAAAACTCTCCAGATGATCTTCACGTGCAACTAGGTTTGAAAACAGGCTCTACATAATATTCTTTAGGGAATAACAAGTTTGCCTAATTGTTAATCAATATTGAAAATATTCAATTAATAAAAATGTGTACCAGGAATATAAATTTCTTTTGAATTTATAATTTTCTTTAAAGTTAACAAACTTTATGGAAAACAAAGGTAGAAAATATCAAACTCCAAAGCTGTTAATGATAATACAGGCTTATTTTAACTCTACCTATACTGTCAAGGACTATTCCTGCGTACACTCTCATCTGATAGGAGAATGCATATACATGCAGTTATTCAAAATGTCAAACATAACAAAACTGTTGTGGAAGACCAATGTATTATTTAAAGTGAATTCTGCTTTAAGGCATGGAAGTGCCAATAATTTTATCAAGACAAAATGCCAGTCTGCTCTTTTACGGTCTTCAGTGAAAATCGGAGAAAAGATTCCAAATGAATGTTAAATATTTTCATAGTTAGAAATTAGATTTGAGTTGAGATTCTAATTTTATTCCTTTTGCCACTGATATATACAGATCAATGGCTCCAGTTTGGTGTGATGCACACGGGGTAGTCAGCTGCTATTGTTCCATGCATATTTTATGACACTTCTCAATGTGTTCTCATCTGTATACACCACCTGCTGCTTTCACTTTAGAGGCATATATTATATTTATTGAATGTTCTATGTTCCAAAGCAGTTCTCAGAGATAACGACTCTCCTTCTTAGCAGATACACTGTTAAAAGAATAATCCCAAGAAAGCACAATCAGGAAACTTGAGAAAGTGCTTTTTCCCCCACTTTGGGATAATTTTAAAGTGAAGAAGAAATTAGAATAATTATGTTCTCCTTATAGCTCAGCACATTTTAGGTGCATTCTGTGATTACTTTTTTAATGCTTTGCTATTTGGGTGATGTAATAATCATAGCAAATTTACATAAAGAAATCAGGGAAATAAAACAGGTTTATTCAAATTTAAGAAAAATAAGCTAAATAAGGCTAGATCATAACAAGAGGTGAAATGCATTTTGCCTTGAATATTCAAAGAATGCATTAATGATATCTAAGATTCTTCTTTCTGTGATTACGTGAGTTGATAATCATGGAGCTATAATTTCCTATAAGAGCCAGTTGTGTAATTTTCATCAGAAGAATCCTACAAGTTAGACTACCGCTCTACGACATCTGATTTATTCAGTCATTACTTTGAACGATTGGCCCTTCATGCTTCTTCTCTATGATGGCAGAACAGAAAGATGAACATTAGAATATTTATTTCCATGTTTCAGGGTGCCTGCACGAATAACTGTCAGCATCTACGTTTCCATCTTCTCCCTCATGTCTTTCTATAGCTCATCCACCTTGTCATGACTACAAATCACTTTGTTTATTCAATTAGACACATGTCACTTTGGAAAGCCACTACTTGTCAAAATGTTCTTGGATAAAATTCTAAACTGCAATCTGTTCACCCTGTGGCTGAGGTTATCTCACATTTAAAAATAACATATATTTTATTTTATTTATTTATTTTTGAGACTGAGTCTTGCTCTGTTGCCCAGGCTGGAGTGCAGTGGCACAATCTTGGCTCACTGCAAGCTCCGTCTCCCCGGCTCAAGTGATTCTCCTGCCTCAGCCTCCCGAGTAGCCCACCACCATGCCTGGCTAATTTTTATATTTTTAGTAGATACGGGGCTCCACCATGTTGGCCAGACTGGTCTGGAACTCCTGATGTCAAATGATCTGCCCACCTCAGCCTCCCAAAGTGCTGGGATTACCGGTGTGGGCCACTGTGCTCGGCCTAAATATATTTTATAATTTAGAACATTTTTTTTTGAGGACAGCATTTTGGAAAGTTTGGTTTTTACATCTGCCCTGATATTTTAATAGAAGTTAACCATATGTTATTCTGGTTTAGAATATGTGTGTATTTATATTATACATACACAGAACATCTACACATTGCTGAATCCTCCTGAATATAGTATCCTGTGTTGTATCACACCATGGTAATTACAGAGGCATGGGCTTTTTCGGAGCGACAGAGATGCCTGTAGTTTTCCTATTGATTTGTAATCTCTTTAGTGAAATCCTGTAGCTAATTGGTTATGAACTTTACCCTATAAAATAAATGCCATCATAATTAAACGGCATCTAGAGACGTTTCCCCTAGTTTTATTTGTAGAGGGCTTCTGAAGGAATACAGAAATATGTTCAAACTGTGTGAAATATAATTTTACATAATGTCATCAAGAGCAGCTACTAGCATGTTTGGCATATGGCCTCTCATTTTAAAAGACCAGGATTGAACCTTGTGCTACTAATATAACAGAATGAGACTACTACTGCTCCAGACACCACTGATGAGTTGAGAGGCTCTGAGAGAACACTGGAGTCCCCTGCTTGGTCAGGAGTCCCACCTTTTCACTGTGTGCTGCATGTGG